CGCTTTAACCGGGGGGGGGGAAGAAGGGGATTTTTCCCCCCAAACCCGGGCTTTGAAACGTGATTGTTGGACTCCGCTTTCGTTTTAACCGTGTGTTTTTACGTGGAAGCCTTACTGCACGGGGAGAAGCTTGAAAGGCTCAAAACCTACGAGTTAAACCACAATATGGGTATTATTTATTTTTTTTTAAGTCTCTTCCGTCCCGTCTTCCCGTGTGTTTTTATCCCTGGAGGCAGCTTGCGAAGGAGTTGCCGGCCACCGTGCGCCCCTTTAGCTTAGCACCGGTTTGCCCGAGTAACCCCTGCATCTGCGAATAGATCTGCTTATTCCTTCTTATTCCTTATTCTTTTCCTTTTCAGCCGATTCGAGCAGAGAGCCAGAGGATGAGCCGGCAGGCAGGCGCGGTGGAGAAGAGGGGACCGTACCTCATGAGCAAGCCGCCCTCCGTTCACGCCAAACTGCGTAAGTGTCACCGCGCTTTCCCGAAGCAGAGCAGAAGCTAGTGATGCCTGCCCCTTGCCTCTTCTGTGGACAGAAACCTCAGCCCCCAGACCTCTGTCGGGTGCTTTATTCCAGCTCAGTAATGGCTTCAGCTATGTTTTTAAGTGGAAGCACTGGATGGTAATCCCTGCCCTTTGCAGAGCTTGTCTTGTGGAGAAAAGAGCAGTTGAAATTGCACCGTTTAGCAATTGCATGTGCCAGCTAAGGAAAGTCTCTTTTGGTCCGATGCTACAAACTACTACTTTTCTTTAGGTGGAAAAAACAGCTTTGACTGGATTAGAATTTCTGCATTTAAAATGCAGCTTCCACCCATTCTTTTGGTGGGCCTGGCTAGTTAGCCCCGCTGGTCTACAGCTAATTCTCGCCCCGTAATGGTGCTGTTAAGTTACCGGGGAAGGGGTGGTTATTTTACCGGTGGACTAGCCTGAGGCTCCCCATACGGCTTGAGAAGGTTTCAGAGCGTGAGGTGCCTTATACTGGGCTTAACAGAGAAGAAGCATCTTGAAAATCCAGTGGTAGTTTCTGCGCTCTTGTCTAGCGGCTCACTCTTTGTCTGTGACAGTTTGCAAATTGGAGGGCTCTGAATGGCGATGCCCATCAGACACCTTTTCCTCCTGCCCCCGTAGCTAGGTGACTATAACACTGGTCTCCTCAAGAGCCCACATACTTTGTAAATGAAGCGCTGCTAAACTTAGGCCTGCTTTTGGTCGCTCAGACCGGCCTTTCAACCAGAGTGTTGGCTGGCCTCCTGAGGGGAAAGGAAACCAAATCCACTGACTGTTCTCTGTCCCTTCATGCTTGGCTGTTGAGAGTCTGGATGGTGAAGAGTTTAGCTCCTGGTAAATGCAATTGCCTTGCTTCACAGAACCGTGCGGGCTGTTAATGCTGCAAACACTTAAACTGGGCACTCGCAGCAGCTGGGAGCCAGCCCTGGACTATGTCCCGTGGCAGGCATTGCCACCTGCCCGCCAGCCGCTCGGAAGCGTGGATGTACGTAGGATTTTACTGGCTTTGTTCTGCAGGTGACTTTCTGCTCTTGCGCGGAGCAGTGGCTGAGAGGCCCTGGGACAGATGGCCCCGAGCTGGAGTGCTTCCCCCTGGGCAGGCGGAGTCACGGGAGTGTGTGATAGAGTCCACACCTGCTCTCTGCTTGTTCCCAGCTTTGGTTCACGCTACTGTTTCTGATATCCCCAGCGTTACAGAGTTCAGGTTGTGGGCCGTGGGCTGTCCGTCCTGCCCCAGTGAGGTGCCTGGTGCTGACCGGACGGCGGGTGCTTTGCCAACACCACCGTTTGGGCTGGTGCTGGGGAACATCCCCAGAAGGCTGATGCTGGCAGAACTGACCTCTCCCAGTCTGAAATTCTCTCAGGCTTGGTATAAAAGAGGATAGCTTTTGTACTAGGAAGTGTTTGAGGGTGGCATAAATTTTCATGGTAGCTAATATTACTTCTGTTGCTGACATTAGATGCTTTTGTAATTTTTTTTTTTTCCGGTTGGTGTTTGGTGCTGGAACAGAGGGAGTTGGGCTGGAGTTAGAGCGCCTTTACATTAAGCTCACACCAGCCCTGCTGTGTGCAGTCTGCACATATGGGCAGCAGGATCAACTGCTTCTTTCAGCTTGTCAAAGTGATAAGAATAGACGCCGTGGAACTGAAGTTTGAGTTGCCTGTGAAGGGCACTGCAAGGCAGCTGTGCTCTCCTGAAGCATGCCCTGCACTGGCCCACAAAGGACCACGGGACCGTTGGATACCTGCAGCTCTGACCCCTTTTTTGGTTTTCAGACCGGCAGCGAGAGCTGGCGAAGGCGGTGCTGCGAAGACAAGGCCTGCTGGGGGGAACCGCTCCACATCAACCAAAGCCAGCAGCTAAAAGGTCTGATCCCGTTTGCTCTTACTTGTACCGAGATGTATTTTTACATGCGTTTGTGAGACTGGGCAATTTGTAGGGTTAAGAACGGCGCGCAGGACCATCTCCAGGCAGCTGGTTCTAATCTGGCCCAGGTATACAGTAAGAGAAAGCCCTGGAGGCCAGTCAGCAGCAGCCCATCTGAGATGCTGGTGTCTTCCCCCCGTTCCCAGTTTGTCTGGTACAATAAAATATAGCACTTTTCAAGCTAGAATTGCACTCGTGTGCTGGCAGCCTTGGGCTGGGGGCTGAACTGCCTCTTGCTAGAGGCAGTCCCTCCAGATCGGGACTGAGCGTGTTGGTGCTGCCTTGGCTGCTTCCTCTCTGGGATAACAGAAGATGCTTCAGAAATGTCCCTTGATTGGGCTGTTGCGAGGCGGAGAAAGCAGAGAATTTTGTATCGCTCCCCATCCTCCCTGCACTCTCCCCTTTGACTGAGTCCTCTCTTCAGCTTTCATAATGTACATAAATGGTATAGGCCAAGGGTGTGAGCACCTGACCGACAAGCTGCTAGTTACGGTGGGTCAGCGAGTGACAGTCTAGGAGCCAGGAATGACTGTGTTTTCATAGCTGGCCTTGACTGTCGGGTGGGCTGAGTCTCAGGGGAGATGGGGAAGCCAGGAAAATATGTCTTGCTTGGGGCAGGCTAGGGCTGCCTGTGGGCTTGGTTATGACGGTGTAGCTGATGGGTGGTAACCTTTTAGTCCACAAACTCGTTCCCGCTCGCTAAGAGTGCTTTTTGCTGCGGTAAACATCAGGCTGTGAAAACCTGATTTGGAATAAGGGAGTTGCAGGGCAGAGAAGGCTGAGAAAGGCTGCACCACAGTCATCAGTCCACATGCAGAAGTTGGAAATTGTTCTACCAGGCTCTATATTTCTTCTCTTTGTCTTGGATGTGGTCTGGTGTTAAGGATTTGAGCAGATAGCTTAAGCAGAGAGCTTAGAGATAGAGTTTATTCTCAGCCAGTGGTGTCCCTGCATGGTGTCTGATGAGGGAGGCATAGCTTAGCAGTTACATGGGAGAGGATGTGCCTGGCATCCAGCACAGGGTTTTCTGCTCTCGCTCCTCAGTCCGTCAGATCTGTGACTACATTTCCACAGCAAAGTGACTGTTGCAGGCTCATTTGTCTGCTTTTCGCAGGTCAGTGAAATTTAACAAGGGCTACACAGCTCTCAGCCAGACAGCAGACGAACAGCTGGTATCCCTCGATTCAGACAGGTGAGAGCTCTGCATGTATATCCCACACTTGTGCTTTGGGGTAGTTGTTTTTACAGGATGCTGATTGCGTACTGTGTGTTGAATGTGAGCCTGCTGTGTGCTGCTGCTGTCCTCAGCGTGGAAGAGATTAATGGACTTGAAAAATGTAGCGGCCTTTCTCTGTGCTGGGATTTGCTGAAGGGAGAGGGACTGAGGGAGCTGAGTAGGCTCTGCCAAGTCAAAGGAGCTGGTGTGTCATGAAAAGCAGTCTGCTTACTGCTATCTGTAAACCTACAGATAAGAAAAAAAAATTCCTCACCTTTTGTGTGATTGATTTGCCTTGTCACTTCTGGAGCAAGGAGTCTAAAGATGCATCACTGATTAGATTGGACACCTATGAGCAGTGAAACAGTTCTGTTGTCCCAAATTTAACAAATGACTCTGCCCCTGAAACCCTTGGGATTATGCTGTCAGCTCCCTTGGTTTGGAGATTCCCTTGTCTGGTCATTCAAGTAAAGCCACAGCTTCCCTGCCAAGTCGATATGTAGCCCTGTGCTTTCAGAGCTGGTGCAGCAGAGAGTTATGTGCTCCACACTTCCGGCTCGCTCTGACTGTTGCCTTCTTCTCTTAGTGACGGGGAGCTGGAATCAAGATGTTCCTCTGGCTACTCTTCCGCTGAGGCAAGTGGAGGTGTTTCGCTCCTGTCTGACTGTAGGGTTCCTATAGGCTTCCTTGCCCCAGTTACACATCTGAGCTCCGCACAGAGAGTGGAATTAAGCGTACCCCTCTCTTTTGGGTACTGAAGGGCAGTGTCAATGGTGAACTCAGAATTGTCACTGCTCTGTTCAGGCACAGCCCTAACAGTAAGAGGAAGGGGCTGTTGCCTTGCCAAACCCGCTCTTGCTGTGTGTGTCCCTTTCAGCCTGGAGGGTTAACTGAAGCTCATTAGTCTGCTTTGCAAACATGTGCCTTTGCTGCTTGATATTCAGACTGCAAAAAGAGATGCGTAAAGCTCCCTTCTGCTGGTGCCAGTCGTATATTAATGCTTCATCCTTTGTGCCTAACGCGTCGTGTCCTTCCAGACCCCAAAGCGCTGCAGCTGATGAGCTCGGTTTGCCAGGAAGGAGTTGCAGCTGCAGTCCTGCTGTGTGCAGGGTGCTGCAGCCCAGGAGCTAGAGATCTTTGATCTTTTGCTTGTCTTCTCTGGCTGTGGTGTTTTTCCCTGTGTGAAGCTGCTGGTAGCAGCCCTGAAGGGAGACCTCGATGCTCTTTTGGTTTGCAGTCCTACCTTTTGTGGGAGTGCGTGGGGCTAGCCTTGGCACTTGAATTTTAACTATTGTTTTGCTTTCAGTTAGAGGTTTGCAAACTTCTGGAGGCTACAACCCTGCTTCTAATCGCTGTAATAATCCAGCTAGTTTTTGAGGTCACATAGACTAACCTAAAATCTGCTGGGCTCTGGCTCTGTTCAGTCACTCTCTGGCAACTGGTGCTTCAATCCTCTTCCTCTGTTCACCTCTGAGCTGTCACACGCGGATGTCTGCGTCCTGCCAGTCGCGTTAACGAGAATGCAAGTAACACTGACTGACAGGCGCTGGGTCTGGAGCATTGATCAGGCATCAGGTAGCACAGGGAACGTTTCCACTGTGCCGGCCAGTGCTTCAGCTCGAGTTTTCCTGCTGTGCCGACACGTTTCAACAGCTCTGTCTCCTCTGCCTCCACCCAGCAGGTGAACCAGGATCTGAGCCGGCAGCTGCTGCAGGATGGGTACCATCTAGATGAGGTCCCGGATGATGAAGACCTGGATCTCATCCCCCCTAAACCTGTTGCCTCCTCTTCTTGCCTGTGTTGTTTCGGCGACTCTCTCTCCTGCGTGATCCAGTAGGGGCTGCTCGGCTGGGTTGCCCAGAACAGGTCATGAGCCAGCACTTTCTTGTTTGTCCCTTGGGATGTTTGTGGGTGTCAATGTCCCGCACTGGGACAGTGACTCAAAAACTGAATGCTGCTACACTGCTGTGCTGCTGCTCTTGGTGAGCAGCAGCAGCTGACCAACCCAACACTACTTTTTGTTACACATAGCAATATAAAAGAGATTGCACAGCGACATTTAGCCTGCCTGGATGGGACTTGTCACTTTGCCAGGCATGAGAAGCTCTTTGCTAGCTGAGGTGGGGAGAAAAGAGGCAGAAGCCAGGTACCCTCCTCAAGGGGTGTAAAGGGAAA